TTTTTTTTTGCGTTTCGTATTAATTATTATGAATTTTATTTACAGACTTCTGCACTACAAGGGGTTTATGGCGCATTATCCGACATTCAACCATTAACGCCTCAAATCCCTCCAGAAGCGCAGACCGGCTTCCAACAGTCGTACAACTTTGCCTACTCTTCTATGACTGTTGGGGGCCAAGGTGTTCCACATGGGGGGCCGTCTAGTCAAGTTTTCTCCCAGGACGAATACGTTCCCCCATGAGGACACAGTCACACACGGCCAGGCATCAACCCGCCCCCAACATTGGTGGGGGTAGAAGAGCTCGGGCCCGTCCCCGCGCTCAGCCGTCCGCCCAGCACCTCCAACCTGAGCAGCCCGAGCCTCAACAAGGTGAGATTTTTAAATTAGCATTTTTTTTTATAGTTCAATTTATAATTTTTTTTTTCAATCGAATTACTCAGATGAAGAAGAGGAGGATGAGCAGGCTTTTCAAACTGATACGCTTCTCACACCTCAACCTTCGTCTTCTTCTCACGTGGTATATACTCGGAGGGGGTCCAGACCGCGCAAACCTACACAACCATTCACTCCTTCCTAGTTAGTTGTGTTGAATTTGTAGATTTTGTGTTTATTTTGAATTGTTGGATTGTCTGTATAAACCGAATTATATCGTTTTGTATATATTGTTTGTTCGGCAAATTATTGTGTTTCAATTTTTTGTTCGGCAAATTATGGTATGATGGATTTGGTTGTGAGCAGGTATATTTTTGTTGTGAACAGGTGTATTTTTTGGTTGTAAACAGGTGCATTTGATGGTGAACAGGATTTTGTATAAAAACGTATTTGATTAATACGTTTTCTATTTTTTAATACGAAAAACGTATTTCGTAAATACGTTTTGTGTTGAAATTAAAATTAGGGCAAAGAAATTCAATTTGGGGCAAAATTATAAAGTAAAACGTATTTAGCAAATACGTTTTATATTCTAAAACTTTTTATCCCAAAAAAATTATTTTCGCGAAATGAGAAAATTGATTTTATTTATAAAACGCATTTCTTAAATACGTTTTATGATTAAAAAAATAATATTAAATTAATTTTAATATAAAAACGTATTTATTTAATACGTATTGTTGTTTTTGAATATAAAACGTATTCAGCAAATACGTTTTGTTATAGGTTAATTACGTTGATTACGATAATTAACTTTAATAAATTTTGTTTACGGACAACGTATTCACTAAATACGTTTTATAATTGAAACCGTATTTAGTAAATACGGCTTATAATAGAAAACGTATTCAGTGNCGGCAGCAAGCGAACAAACCCTCATTTCACTTCTCTAATTCTCTTCGTCATCTCCCTCAGCGCTTCAGAGCCTCTCCACCCAGCCTCCATTGCAACCTCCACGGCCCACCACAACCCGGAGAGAGTAGGAACTTCGCCGCCTCCACGGCTCCACCTCAGCCTCAATTCTCAGAACATCCTCCAGTCCCTCGTCTCTCGCCTCTCGCCTCTCGGCACCCCCAAAGTGTCTGCTCCTCGACTCTCTCTACCCGACATCTCCTGCTCCTCGGTCGACTCCAAAGGTAACATTTTGTTTTTATTTTGAGATTATGATATTGAAATTGAAATTGGCCTCTTCTTCATTCACTTGATTATCTTGTTTTTTTTGTTTAATTGGACTGATTATTTATTAAATTAATAGAGTTAGATATAGATGATTGCTTGAGCTTGCTGTTTTGAGGACTCTGATGGGATTTTAAAAGTTTCTTTGTTGATGGGGAGTGTTGCTACATTGTTTTGAGTGTCTATGAACACTAGACTGTACTTGTTATGTTAATCCTTGCCGTTGAATCAGTTGAGGTTGGTGCTGTTGTTTACAATTTTTCGTATATAAGAGAAAGGCTGCACATGAATTTTTCTATGTATCAGTTTGGTGTCTGATGGTAGTGTTGTTTACTTGTCAATTTTTCCTGTTCAAATAGTTGGGTGAAAAAGTAGTAAATGAAGAACACTAGATTGGATCACAATCATGATGTCGTGTGTAGTTTTTATTGAATGGTTCAAATAATATGTAGCCTATGTTTTTTGGATTGAAGTTGTACCGTGCTCTGTGTGATCATGTTGCATCAGATTAAAAAAGGAGATTGAACCAAACATTGGTTTGAACATGACTTCACTAGTGTTGCTGACCCACGTAGCATAGTTGTTAGTGAGTGTTGCTGACCCAAGTACCGTAGTCATGTAGTGTCCCCTTCTAGGCTTTTCGCCTTACCCAAAAAAAAAGGGAGGTTTGGAAATCAAAACCTGTGTTGGATTTTTAACCTCCCCAATATTGTCCATAAACCTTGTTCAAATGCCTTTGTTAAATATGCCCTAATCCCAAGTTCCCAACCCCTCTTTCTCCACTCGCCCGCACGCACCAGCAGGCAGTAGCCATCCAAGCCTCGCCATCCTTATTCCTTACGGCCACACCTTAGTACTGTCACTGCCCGCCTCAATTGACCACCTGAAATTTCAATTCAACAGGCAAGATTAAGCTTTTAAGGTTTCTGTGATCTTATCCAGACCGCGACCGAAATCTTAATCCTTAACGGGTTGACTTATCGTGATTTATTACTGGGTTTTTTCAGTTTAGTTGAGAGACTGATTGCTTCACAACCAGTGTGAATTATAATGTAAAAATGCAAATATGCTGAAAAAAAAAATTGCAAACACATATATTAGCATTTTAAAAACGGCTCATAACAAACTCCAAATCTAGCTCAGGCTGTGATTCCATCTTGTGCGCCGCCTCTCCGCTTGGAAGAAAACCTGAGCGCACCCGGCCAAGGACAAGGTGATACCGATTTCAAAACCCCGCACTTCGAGTACGGGCAACCTGCCACACAGTCTTGATAGCCAGCGAAATCTTTCGAGTAAGCTTTCTCCCCCGAAAGTTAGAATTTTTGGAACTGAATTTGGAAATTGAGATATTAGAAATTGCGAGCAGACTCTGCGTTTTTCTTTTTACTCTTTCCTTTTTGGTTTATTGAAGAATTAAGGGATTCTCGAGTAGTGCCTAGACCACACTTCTTCTTCTCCGGCTGATTATTGTGGACGAAGAAGATGAAATCTTTGTTTCTTGTCCGCCAGCAACCTGTTCTTTTTCTATCAATTTCCAATTAATTCCTCTTCTATTTAAGTGATTTATGTGAACAGAAGGCACTCAGAAATTAGGAATTGTCCATTTCTTTTTCTTTGTATTATTTAACTGCTCTCCGGGTGCTTGCTTAACAAAGATTTGAAACTGAATGGTGGTTCATTTGGAGCAGAAGTAATTTAGTTCAAGGTGACCTTGAAAATGATTAGTATTCTTGTCTTTTTCCATTTGCTATTGTGGAAGTCGTGTCAGTTTCCAGAAAACTCTAATGTTATTTTAGTTTGAGTTCTTTGTCAAGCACACACACTTTGCTTGACTAAGTGGTTTTGTTGGCATGTTGTAATGTGGTGTTGTGTTGGATTATGGGGTACTATCGGATGAGCATAGTTGTTGTTTGCGATGTTGGTAACCATTTAATAGTTAGGCTGTGGATAATTGTAACATAGAATGGTGTAAGTTTTTGTTTTGCTTGACGAACCCGACCCAAACCTGCTCACCCGACTGGTAATACCCGAACATTACCCGAGCATTAATAATCAGGTAATGTTGTAATGGGTTAGGTTTGAGTAAGGGTGGAGTGTGCGGGTTTGGGTAAAGATTTTCCAACCGCAACCAACCGAACCTTTTATATCCCGAATCTTGATCTTCAAGTTCAAGAAACCTAAATTTTAATTGGTCAAATCATCTACTTTTCCCAACTCTGCAGGACGTCAAAAACAAACGAATTCATCATTCGAGCACACACAAGCTTGTCATATCTCACTTGCAACTTTTTCCAGCGGTTAGCGAAAATGAGAAGAAACATAGGAGTTCCGAACCATGTTAAATTGGTTTTCACAGTCATCTCCATTTCTTTCATCATCATACAGATTATTTCAGCAATCCACCTCACAAAAATCCCTTTGTCAACCATTTCCACACCCAAACACAAAATCTCCACGACTGAATACTCAAAAATCGGCGAACTCGGAAAAACAGTAATTGGGATGTTACCTGAAGATCTGCCTTTCACCCTTTTCCTGCCTTCGGAGGAAGCCTTTCGCCACGATCTGGGATTGAGTAGAAACGACAGTGATGATGCGTATGCAACACTCACGCGGGTTTTGGGGTTCTCAGCCTTACCGAGACATGTTTATGTGGCAGATTTGGAGTACGGGAAGCAAAAAATCTATGATTCAATATCGGGATTCACTTTGTACTTATCGAAGACTTTGAAAGGGATGGTGGTGGTTAATGGTGTGGTCTCAGAGGTGGTGGATTTGAAATTGGGTGAGATTCTGGTGCATGTGATGAATGGGGTGGTGATGGATGCTGAGTTTGAGCTCTCTGTGCAGCCTGAGGGTGAGGATGATGAGAGAAGATAATTCAATAGATGTTCTTTTCTTTTTTATTTTATTATTATTATTATTATTATTATTATTATTATTATTATTATTATTATTATTTTTTATAATTTGTTCAAGTACTTTCAGCAGTTTATTGTTGAGGCATTACCAAAAAGTATGAGATTGCTTATGCTTTTGTTTTCATAATTTATGGTTGACTCTGTATTAGACTATAGATATTTATGTTGTGGGATTTATGTGATAATAAAATATTAGCAAGAGAAACGTGATTAAATTGATGCCTTGGTGATTCACATTGAAATCCTTGAATTTCCCTCGGTTCTTATGACTAAATTATAAAATATACTTAGTCGAATACTGATGCTGGGGATTAGTCTTCTTGTGAGCTTGTTCTATCACATATTTTTTCAGATTAGAATATTTGAATTTCCATTGTTCTTATGACTAAACTATAAAATATGCTCTGTTGAACACTGATGCTGGGGATTACACTATAATTTTTGTTGTTGTTTTTTTTGGGTAAAATTTGATATCTTGTGACTATTTATTACCAGGAGGAGATGAGAATTCCTAGAAAACTGGAGATATGGAAGATGGGTGTCGTGAATTACTCGCAGGCACTAAAGCTGCAAGAGAAACTGACATCCGACAGGAAAACACACAAGATCACGGACACTCTCCTCTCCCTACAGCACCCTCCGACTTACACCCTCGGAAAAAGACGAACGCAACACAACGTATTAGCCAACGAGTCCGAACTCAAAGCCATGGGAGCCGAGCTCTACTACACAGAGAGAGGAGGTGATGTAACTTTTCACGGGCCCCACCAAGCTGTTTTGTACCCCATTGTTTCTCTGAGAGAACTCGGGCTGGGGGCCCGAAAATACGTTGAGAAGCTTGAGCTGACAATGATTGAGCTGGCTTCTCTGTACGGTTTGGCAGCTCGTGCGGGGCAAAAGTGCGAAACCGGGGTTTGGATTGAACAGAGAAAGATTGGGGCGATTGGGGTTCGTATTTCGTCCGGGATTACATCTCACGGGCTGGCTTTTAATATTAACTCGGATTTGAGTTACTTTGGGCATATAGTGCCTTGTGGGATTGCAGATAAAGAGGTTACATCTTTGCAGAGGGAGGTGAAAGAAATGCTGCTTCCTCATGAGGAAGTTGTTACTGAGCAGTTGATTTCCTCTTTTGTGAGGACCTTTGATTACGGTGATGTTGTTTGGAAAGATGCATCATCAATCTCACCGGATAAGTGAAAATAATGTNGTTTTTCGAAAAGAAAATTAGTTAACTTAAATAACGTAACTAGCTTAATTAAAATATAAAAAAACATATTGGCTAAATACTTTTAAAATTAAAAAAAAAATACGTATTATATAAATACGTTTTTAAATTAAAATTAATTTTATATTTATTTTTTAATTATAAAACGTATTCATGAAATACGTTTTACAAATAAAATCAATTTTTATAATTCTTGAAAATAATTTTTGTAGAAAAAAACAATTTAAAATATAAAACGTATTTTGACAATACGTTTTTCTTGTAATTTTGCTCGAATTGGTTTTGCTGCCCTAATTTTAGCCCCAAATAGATTTTGCCCTAAATTTTCAAAGTAAACGTATTCTTGAAATACGTTTTTTGTATAAAAAAAAAAATTTGAAAAACGTATTTCACTAGTACGTTTTTAGCAGAAATCCTATTAACAACTAAATATACTTGTTCACAACCAAATACACCTGTTCGAGCAGCTAATATAAACATATTCGCCCAATAATAATCCAACATACACTATAAACAAACAAATGAAACACAATAATTTGTTGAACAAACAATATATACAAAACAATATCATTCGGTTTATACAGACAATCCAACAATTCAAAATGAAGACAAAATTCACGAATTCAACACAACTAACTAGGAAGGAGTGTATGGAACCCTAGTCTTACGCGGTCTGGACCCCCTCCGAGTATATACCATTTGAGGAGATGACGAAGGTTGAGGTGTGAGAAGCGTGTCAGTTTGAAAAGTCTGCGCATCCTCATCTTCTTCATTTGAGTAATTCAATTGAAAAAAGAAATTATAAATTGGTCTGGAAAAGTAAAAAAAATAAAAATTGTTAATTTAAAAATCTCACCTTGTTGAGGCTCGGGCTGCTTAGGTTGGAGGTGCTGGGCGGATGGCTGAGCGCGGGGACGGGCCCGAGATCTTCTACCCCCACCAATGTTGGGGGTCGGTTGATGCCTGGCCGTGTGTGACTGTGTTCTCATGGGGGAAATGTATTCGTCCTGGGAGAAAACTTGACTGGACGGCTCCTCATGTGGAACACCCTGGCCACCAACAGTCAGAGAAGAAAAGGCAAAGTTGTACGACTGTTGGAAGCCGGCCTGCGCTTCTGGAGGGATATGAGGCATTAATGGTTGAATGTCGGATAATGCGGCATAAACCCCTTGTAGTGCAGAAGTCTGTAAATAAAATTCATAATAATTAGTATGAAACACAAATAATAATAATAATAATAATAATAATAATAATAATAATAATAATAATAATAATAATAATAATAATAACAAATAATAATAATAATAATAAACACAAATAATGGACACTTACCTGACAGCCTAACCGCTCGGCAAGTGGCTGATACCCGCCCGCCTGTTGGAACACCGGGTAATTGGCAGGGTTCTTGATGAATCTCACAGTCCTGCGGTGAAACTATTCAAGGTAACCCTGCTCCGGCTGCAGATAGTCGTGCACGGGGGCAATTGGGAGGAGACGTTGTTCTATTTCTTCGGTCCACGAGCTCAAAAACGCACATGGAATGCGGCCCAATCGTAAAACGCCCTCCCAGTCATCTCCTGACCCTTGTGGTGTGTGTCCCAGTCTCGCTCATCCAGAATGATCGGATCTTGGGGATGGACTGGCGACACCCAAATTGACGGATGACCTTGTCAGGCAAGTGTACCTCCCTGGTGTTCCAACTGAAAATCCACCCCCAGTACATCCAAAATTGTGGATCTCTTGAGCACGCTTCAGAGAGAGTATCATCCTCCAGGTGTTGTCGATAGGGCTGCCAATCGAACTGTAAAAAAAAAATAACAATTGAATTAGTAATTAAGTTATTACAAAATTATAAACAAAAAAAGAAACATAAATCAAGTAATAGGAATTAAGAATATCACATCATACTCTCCCAGCCCTGTCAACTGATCCCGGTAGGCGACCAATGTATTGGCTATGTTGGACCTCTTTTTCGGTCCACCCACCTTAAAAATCAGAGAAAAAAAAGTTTGTAATCACAAAGTTTGATAATGAAAATAATGTACGGATTAAATAAAAATAAAGGTTACCTCGCTCCCAATGGACAATCAGGCAAAGTATCAAACCTACTGTTCTTGACTATTGGGCGAATACGAGGGATATGCTCCCATGCCCAAACCTACACAAATGGACATTAATTTTGTTATTAGGTATTAGTCGAAGTAAGAAAAAAATAAAATATTAAATTTTCAAATAACAATTAAATAAATTTACCTGGATCAATTGAACGCAGTGCTTCATCCACTTCTCCTTGGCCTTGTACGAGGTTGACAACACTCTGTATACTCCGGCCAGGAGCGCTGAACCCCAGTTGTACCCCTTAACAGCATCTATGTCCTGCAGCAGGTCGAGCCAGTAAAGTGGGACGCCATTCGCCCGCTGGTCGGGGAAGATGAAGGACCCAATGCACCAGAAGATAAGGGCACTCGCCCTCTGCTCGTACACGATGTCCGGTTGCCCTTCTTCCAACACACGGTTGCATTCCTCCTCTAACCCTTCATCATTCAGATACTGGCCTTTAATGTCCCAAGACTTTGGATCTTGGGCTGCTTGCTCTTCCTCGGTGGTGGGAGGATCCTGAGAGTGGTTTTTTCATATTAAAAACGATAAAATTGAGTTGACATATATTTAAAAAAAATTCTATGAAAAAATATACCTGAACATAGGGCTCGTACCCTAGCAAGTCCTTGCACCTCTCTCGCCACTGTAGGGGTGATAGATCTCTAGTCACTCCCACAACAACAGCTCCAATGATTGGCAGACTGAACAGGACTTGTACGTCCTGGAGCGTGATGGTAGCCTCGTCGAAATCGAAATGGAAGGTATTCGTCTCTGGGTGCCACCTCTCCACGAGAGCAGTAATGAGACTGTTGTCGGCTTGGACTCGACCCATTCGAAACAAGGGTCCGAAACCAGTCCGGTCGATGACCTTCTAAACCGACCGTGGTTGGCTTGACAAAGCCGCCCAGAACTGGCTGTCGAAACGGCGGTTTGTGAGCGTCGTGTCACGAGCTCCCGGCGCATTATCAAATACCGCCTGTAACCGGTGGCGGTACTGGAGATATAGAAGAGTGCCATCCCTCGGACTGGGATGGACACTGTACTGCTGAGGCTGTGAGGAGGATGATGAAGCCATTTATCTACAAACAATATCCAATTTTGGTCCGCTAATTTGTCCATTGTCCACTTTTGGTACATTATCTTTCCCCTCATAAAAAATGGTCCATTATGTTATATTTTTCATCAGTTTTAATACGCTACTCCAGTTGGCGGGATTACAAGATGACGTGGATCGGGATTGAAACTACGTGGAGGGATAAGATATTGACGTGGTAGGATAAAAACCTGATTTGGCATCTTGTAATCCCGGGCCACGGGATTAGTGTACTAAAACTGATGAAAAGTGTAACATAATGGACCATTTTTTATGAGTGGAAAGATAGTGTACCAAAAATGGACAATGGACAAATTAGCGGACTAAAATTGAATTTTTGCCAAAAAAAATATTAAGATTAAGGTTATTTATTAAATTAATGATAGCCTGATGTTTAATTATGAATTCTTTATGAATAAAAATTCAAATAGGATATTTATAAAATTCTAAATAAAAAGTTCTTTATAAAATATTAATAACAATTCCTTTTTATATCTAAATTTGTTGTAAATGTTTTAAATATATTTAATTATCGTCACTGATTTTAATTACAATATACTAACTTTTTACAATTTATAAATGGTTTATATTTAGTTTATCGTCACTTATTTTTAATTAGATTAATTTTTGGTTTAAGACTACTTTATAAATAGTTTGTATATAGTCTTATTTTGAATGTCATATTTTTAGAAAATAAAATTATAAAACTGTAGCAAACATGTAAAACAACCTTATGTTTCAAATACCAAAATAAGCTCCGAAAAGAATCCAAATCAATGTATAAATCAAGTGCAAGCCACAAAAACGTCCAATATCCTATTCACAATTTCAACAACATTAGAGTTTCAAGTCCTAATTCGAAGTTCTAAATCCAAACCCTAACGTCCTAATTCCGAAAATTCTGTACACCCTAATTGCAAGCCTCATTCAAACATAGTTCAAATCAACCCCTAATTCTAACCGTCAATGTAACCCTAACTTTAAAACATCAAATTTTCAAGCAACCCTAACCTAAAAACGTATTATGAAAATTCGTGTTCAAAAAAAAAAAATTGAAAAAATTTTAGGCCATTTACCTAATTGACGAGGAGATTTGCAGTTGACGATGCCGAGACGTTGGTGGCGCGGCGGCGGTGGAGATTTGCAGTTCACGGAATTTTTTTTTCGCTGTATCTCTCTCGCTCTCTCCGTCTCTGTTCTCTGCGAAGTGAAGAAGACGACCGATTTTTTTTTGTTATATCACACAGAAAACGTATTTAGCAAATACGGTTTCTGAATAATTTAATTGTAAACCGTATTTGCTGAATACGGTTTCTATTTTTTTTAATAAAAAATATATATATGATATATACTATATAATATACGTAAAATAATTTTATACTTTAACATTACTATACTATATTATATACTATATAGTATATTATATACTATACTACATGTTATATATAGTCTTATATCATACTATATACTATATCATCTATATATTATATTAAACTTTATATAAACTATAAACTATAACATACAAACTATAACATATAAACTATAACATATAAAGTATAAACTATAAGATATAAATTATAAACTATAACATATAAAGTATATTATATAAACTATAAAGTATAAGATATAAACTATATTATATAAAGTATATACTATAAGATTTAAACTATAAGATGTAACATATAAAGTCTATTATATAAAGTATAAACTATAAGATATAAACTATAACATATAAGATATAAAGTATAAGATATAAAGTATAAGATATAAACTATAAGATATAAACTATAAA